ATGTAGCCTCTGCTCTCCTCAAACACATAAACAAAGCCTGCAGCGTCTCTGCATGGTGCCGCCTGGCCCCGGTGCATTGTGGGTAATACCTCAGACAGACACCATCATCAGTTGGTCTGATGATGGTGTCTGTGGCAGGAGTTCAAGGGTTCTTCATTTCAAACTACATTTCCCAGAATGCATCAGAGGAGAAACCCTGAAACAGCAGGTTCTCCTGTAGATGATCAGACCTGCAGCTCTGGATGTTCTCAGGTCAGAAGGTCAGAAGGTGACCAGCTGAGGATCAGCCAGGTGGGCTCGTCATGGAGACCAGAACAGGTTAGATCCTCCTGGTTCTAAGGGCCTGGTTCTAAGGGCCTGGTTCTGGATGTTCTCAGGTCAGAAGGTCAGAAGGTGACCAGCTGAGGATCAGCCAGGTGAGCTCGTCATGGAGACCAGAACAGGTTAGATCCTCCTGGTTCTAGGAACGTTCTGGGTCAGGATCGGGTCATGGGTTCCAGAACGGTTCCAGCTGTGAGCAAACATCATGAGCTGCTGGGACACGTGGAGGAAACAAAGGAAGCTTTGAGACATCATGAAGATCTTCAGGGTTCAGCTCTTTGTTCTTCAGTAGAATTATGCTTTAAATTCAGTGTTTTCCTCCCAGTTCAGCCGTTTAATCCGATGTTTTTCTGCTCATTATCTCTGTGAAAAACCTTCAAAATGATTTTAATAACAAAGATTCCACTAGAACTCAATAAAACATCAAAGGATTTTCCCACAAAGATCAGAAAATATCTAGAACTATGTGAAAATATCTAGAACTATGTGAAAATATCTAGAACTATGTGAAAATATCTAGAACCATCTGAAGAACCCACAGTGGTATGAATCTGTGCAGTGAAGCGGTTCTGATGATTCGGTTTAATTTCAGTTGTTAAAAAAATTCCTTCTTTGTGTTTGTGTAGAAAATAATGAGACGCTGATTGGTTCCATGAACCAAGAACCTGGTTCTTTGGTGGTGGAACCGGTTCTAGTTGTAGCAGATCTATCCTGCAGTCAGGGAAGAGTAGCTGATGGTTCCTGAGGCGTCAGAGGAACCGTAGCTCAGTGAGGCAGACATGCTAATCAACTCAATGACCTGCGTCCAGTTTGCCTTGTTTTTGTTTAGAAAACATGCAGATTGAAATGGAGGAACGGGTCCACCCCTTTGAGAGGGGGGTCGTTTGTCTCGGGCGGGGTGGGGGGTCGTTAAAGGGGATAGTTGGCCCCTGGCTGAATAGGCGAGGTCTCCTGTTCTCCTGTAAGGGGTTGGAGCTGTGATGATAGTGAAGGAATCCGCTCCATCGCTGCATCGTTATTGAAAGCTGTAATCTGAGTCCCCCCCCCCCCCCCCCAAAGATGGCTTCCTTCATCTCCTCTCTAACATCCTGTCTTCTTTGTCCAAAATGTGAACATTGTGGTCCTCCAAACCTGGAACTAAACGCGATTTCTGACATTTTGCATTGAAAGATTTTCCTGATGGAAGAGAACTTCAGAGAAGAGACGTGGATGAATGGAGGCAAAAGGTTGGAGAGAAGTTCTCTGAGGTCTGGGAAGTGCTGCCAGAGGAGACGGGGTTGGTGGAGCAGGTTCTGGAGGTGGTGGTCCAGCTGAAGATCACCGAGGCTTTAAAGGACTGAGCTGATCTGGAGGACGATGGAACCTCCTGCATGGAGCGGCTGAGGTTCTGCT